TTGGCTTTTATGAAAGTAAACTCATCGTAGATACCAGGCTTAAAATTTTGTACGCCAAACGCGCGTTTCGTCCTTATCAGTGACGCTAGAATAAAAAAAGATCAAATGCCAAATAATGTATGCAGTTGGAGAGTTGGAGAGCATTAAAGGCCGAAAATTCCGAAAGGTTTTGCCAAATAACTGCAAAGGTAATCTATGTAATCTATTTCTTTAAAACAAAATCCCAAATTTCAAATCTTATCAAAATTCAGTAAAAATTGTGTGAACTGACTTTAACAAAAGGACCAGTCTAAGGATATATATCAAATTCTAGAACAGAATTTTCATAAGATATAAACATTAATGTTTATTCTTTGTTTAATATTGTATGTGCTTTAAGAAGATAATTATTATTTACCAGAGACAGCTTTCATAGTTAAAAATATTAAACTCAATGTTTACAGCAAAAGTAACCATTTTTTTCTAAGTTGTAAAGAATTGCGCTCTGTATTTTCGAAGCATAGCGCTGATTCCGATATTCATTTTGTTTCAGATCCTACGTTTAAAAGAGAAATATGGCTCCAAGACCATTCAAGCATTGTTGTAGAAAATCAAGATTTGCTGCCTTATCACCTATCATAAATCAAGAACCAGATTGTGAATTCACAGCATTAATGAAGAGAAATTTTATAAATCTGCAAATTGAAGATTAATTAGATAAGTGCTTAATAAACAGTGGCGCCTCCATCATCTGCCTCAGCAAACATGTGCTCAAGAAAGTTAAACCAATTGCTAACATTATAAAATCCTCATTATTTAGTGCTGTCGGAGTATGTGATGAAATACATCCGTATATATGTTAAACTGTGCAACCCTTTTGTATCTTTTGACTTTCTTTTGCACATTTCAGATGTGTTTGCCATTCAGGCTGGCTCGCAAGCTGAGATATTCTCAACGCTCGATTTAACGTTAAGTTTTTGGCAGGTCCGACTTGACCAAGCAACCAAACACGAGAGTGCATTCATACACGAGTGTATAAACTCAATCGCATACCCTTCGGACTAATGAATTATCCAGTGGCATACAATATTTCAATCCTAGTATCTATAATTAGTTTATTTAAATCATCTAAATTAGTGTTTACAAATCTTTTTACTGCGAAACTGAAACTGAATACTGAAAATGTAAATTTGGAACAAAAACTGCGAAATATTTGGGACATATCATTTCAAAAGACGGAATTCGTGTTAATACAGAAAATGTTGACATAGTGAAAAACTTTCCAAAACCAGTTAGTGTTAAACAAATGAAAAGTATCCTGGAAATAACTATTTTCTATAGAAAATTTGGTAAGGACTATGCGAAAATTAATTATTTAGCAAATCAGAAATTTACTGTTATTTCATAAAAGGTTTCAGTGAAATATCTTAAAAAGATCAAGATCAGATGGACGTTTAGGCAGATAGAGACTTCTTCTTCAAGCATACAACTTCAAAATTCAGCATAGTTCAGGGCGATAGGAATCCAGCAGATTTTCGTTCGCTGCAGGTACATCCAAATACAGAACCGAAACATTCAAGTGAGTTATTTGAACGTTTATATTCAAAAGGCGAAGATCAAAAGGAATATGCACAAGCAACATTATTTTATAAGGGCGAAAATCTGGACTATGTCATATCTAGTTACCACAGCATTCAAGGAATTACCAATCTAGTGCTGCCAGATCAAGAAAAAGAAGAACAGAGGTGTCATGACTTCATGGACGCAATCAAATACAAACAGCTAGAAAAAAAGCTAGAAGACAGCAAAAGCTAGAACAATCGTCGCACAATCCTATAACTATGAAGTAGAATACAGCATTTTGACGCACTTCTATTCATAACGTTGCAAAATGGTTTCCAATGATGAAAGGCTAGTTAAACAAATTGCTGTAACAAGTCTTGCGAGATGACCTACTGAAGTCCGATCGTGACTATATTGGTAGTGGTGGACATATGTAGCTCTATGTATAGTGATGTCAACACTAATATCAAAACTTGTGAAACTTGCCAACAATCAAAGCGTGGTTTTTAATTCAAGACCTCCTCTTTTGCAACCGCAGCAAACTCATGATGATTGCAGAGATAGCACATTGATATATTAAGTGGTTATCCAGCAACAAAGGATAAATTCAAACTGTTTTGATAGTAATGGACAGTTATTCGAAATGGTGCGAGTCATTCCCTCTTCGAACTCAAGAAGCCAAATAGGTTGCAAATCAATTGTTCAGAGGAATTTTCAGTCGTTATGCCCCGTTTTCTCATATCAGATCGTGGAAAATATTTGTCTCGAACATTGCCAAAGCTTTATCAGATATTTTTAACATCACTAGACACCTGAAAATCTCATATAATCCTCAGACTAATGGATCAGTTGAACATTTTTAAACTCTGTAATATTGCAAGATTTTCGTGCATATGCTAAGACATGCAAGACGATTGCATAGATGATTTGGCTTAAATAATTATAATGATGGCATAACGAGCAACACCAGTCACTCAATCAATTTACAATCATCCATTTTTCTTATTGTATGGTAGAGAGATGACATTACCGATATATACTGCATTAGTTCCACAAAGGATAATATATCACACGATAACAAGATATTTTTGACCATAATTCTTCAAAATTTGGAAACAACTAGAACTATAGCTGTAAAGCAAGCTCAGCATAAATACAAACAAAATAATGACAAAATGACTACAGATCCAGAATTAAGACCAGCACAACGTGTTTGGCTATACTGCACTAAAGTTCCCGTGTAAAGGCACCTAAATTACACCGAAGACGGGTCGGACCATAGTATTTCACCAGACTTGGTTCACATCACACCTATAAACTGAGGAACTTTGCAACAAATAATGAAGTGAAATCTTTAGAAAATGCACAGACTAAAACAGCATCATGATCCTGAAGACCGATAAACAATTATACCAAACTTCAAAATGACATATATTAAACATGATCCTGATGAGTAAGACAACCAGACAGACCCTCCCGTACCTCAGCAAAACAACCAGCATATTAAAAAATCGTTTAGATAGGAACAGTTAACAGTTAGATTAACCAGAGTATCAAGATAATAACGATGTTTCAGATACTCAACCAACATAAGATAAGGGAAATAATCTACCAGTAAAAGACACAAAGCCATCATGTAAGGATTGTGAACGAGGACCTACGACAGGTGACATATTTTCATACTTTTGGCATTTTTTATATAAAAATTATTATTACTCGGATTAATTTGAAATTTACGTGTCACAATGAATTCAGTTTTGGTTATAAAGAATTCGCAAAAATTTTAAAAGTCAAGGTGTCAGTCAGTTCAGACTTACACCTGTGAACAAGAGTGAAAAATGAAAAACTTAGAGTACCGTCTATATCTAGTCTTCGCTATTCAATCAACTACCAGTTATCACAGATTGGCTACCAATCAACTGAATTTATTGAACGCATCAACAAGACAACAAAGGACAGATTAACAGCTCATGGGATCAAAACTTTCAACCCAAGATCCAGTTTTAACTCAGTGACTCTTACATTTGGACATTTTTGGATATTTCAAACGTAACCTTACTACGCAGAACATTTCGATAAGAGATTCAGACTTCTTTACATTAAAATTTGATAATTCTACCAAGTTATATTTTTTGGGGACAATTCCAGCTGGTGATTCTACAAAGTGTTTGGACAATTCTTAAGGACAGTGACAATAACTTTGAAGAGTGCATTAATTGTTTTATTTCTTTGGACTTATATATCTTTGGAATATTTTGTTATTAATTAAATTGTTAAACGTTTTAGAAAAGAGAGGCAATAGATTTCAAAGGGACATGTAAACTCATTAGCCGAAAATAAAAACTGACAATGCCATGAGAAAAAATGAACAACGATTAAAAGACAAACAACAGTAAACAAAACAGAAAACCAAAGACTGCATGAGCAACACGAACCCCACCTCATGTGCTCCGGAAGAGCAAGCAAATCCTGCTCCACATGTGAGAGTATTTACTTTGCCACTTGTCGATCTTAAGTCTATAAAAAGACTGACTACCTGTTCCTTAAGTCAAGTATGCGGATTAGCTTCCACTAGCAAAAACACATGCCACACTGACACTTTTAATAATTATTTGTCAGTTTACTCTGGTTCCTTGTTAAATCAAAGTACTGAAGTACTGAACATCGGATGACCGCAAGTTCTTGTGGACGGTCACAAGCACTTGTCTCAGAAAAAAAAATCACATACCGGTAAGTGGGGTTAAGGTACATAGATATACTTTTTTCAGAGACAAGTTAGTGCGTGGATGGTGAATAAATGACAGGGAATTCAGCCTCACCGTAATAACTATTATATTGTAGTGATACTAACAATAGTGCAGTGCAAGTGCATGGTGGATACTCTTCTGTAATAACTCAATTTTTCTAATAGATTGGATTTGAGTAGGCATTCGTATTTTCTCGCAAAACATTCTTGAGATATTCTTCCGCATGCATTAACTCAAGTTTTCGGTATTCTTGATTTGTTATTAATATATACATATTTCTCACGACAAAACATTTTCCTATCATTTATCTATGTTCTTAAAAATTATTTTCATGAATATTTATTGATGAAATTGATATATAACAAGCGATAACGAATGTTTATTTTGCGTTCGGTTATCAGTCAAAAACGAAAGTCACGTGGTTAGAAATGTCTGTGGCAACAATACACAGGAATGCTCTCACGGTCACCCGAGGGAACAAAAACAGTATCTGTGTCAAGCAACTGGATAGTTCAATTTCAAGAGCTGTTTTATCATTTGATTGGTATTTTATCAATATTGCGAAGATGATATGTATAACTCAGTGACTTTTATTTAGGACTAATACATGTACATGTCTATTGGTCCCAATTTCAAATACATCTACCTTTGTTCCAACTAGTCTTTCTATATGATACGATCATTACAATAAACTTAATAACCATCAAACTGTTAAGATTGAATTTCATTTTATTGTGCAGCTACAATCAGTGAGGTGTCTACAAAATAGTTTATGTATACATCAGATTAAACAGAACCATGAACAAGAAAAAATGGCTATCTTTTTAACAATTCATGTTTTTTTCCAGAAATAATCATGTTTTTTTTCCTCATTTTTATATGAATGACTAAATTACAGACATATTTTTTGCCTCAATTAATCCATAATCATGCACAATTAACATGTATCTAAAAACAAGACATACCATGTTTTACAAGACAAAACAGGCAACACCACGATCAAAAAGAAAAACAACAATAACAAAACATTACACCGAAAAAGTAATGTGAACCCAACCCAAAACCTGAGCTGAAGTCAGATGCTCCTTAAGGGTAACAGTCATGTTACTCATTGCAAGTAATATTAGTGAAAGGTTGCATTCGGTAATCTCACAATCAAAGAAAAGAGGACAGGATTTTAGTGGAACATATTCTCGATTATCTGTGACACATATATATTCCATAACAAAATCATGATGGTGTCCTAAAATTTTGTAAAATTTTGTAAAGGAATGATTTAAATTTTACCATTTGGAACTTTTGATGCAAAAGATCCTTGTAAGCAGTAACCTTCTATCAAGAAACTCCTGATAGGGAACACAAACCATTGAATACACAACAAACACAAACAGTCTAAGGCACATGCCCTGTTTCAAGTCATGAGCCTAACACACATGCCCATACTAATATACCTGTCATGAGCCTGTAATGATTGCTTGTAGTTCTCTTATATTTTGCGTTTCACTCAATTTTATTGACATCTATAATTCCATTAGTAACGAATTGATTTATTTCACATTTTGAAATTTCATTGTTTCTTTATTCTTTGTGTTGGCATTACACATGTAGTTGTTTATTTGCAGAGGTTTTGGTCTTAGGTTGGTGGCTGTCTCACAGGCAATGATATTTCTTCTACCATCACAAAGTTACTTGTAAAGTTTGATAATATTATTATATACATTTCTTCCTCAAAGCTTTTTAATCTGATGCATTTGTAAATATGTTTATACATATAAGATAGCATAGATCTCTAAAAAATGAAATACATATAAAATTGATGATAAAATCTAATACAAATTTAAATACAATTATGAAAATAAAATGCACTATTCAAGTCAATAACAAAGAAATATACAAGATATAATTAATATTTAAGTAAAATGTTCCATAAAAGTATCATTATCATATAAACACTGAACAACACATTTCATCACAAAACATGACAAAAAACATGTGTAATAACAATTATAAAAAAAAAACAACAATTCATATATATTGCCAAATTTTTTAATTGTACTAAATTATGACAGTAGACAAATACAACTTTTAAAAAACTAAGAAATTATTGGATCTAGGATTTATTTTAGAAAAAAAACATACATTGAATTTTTGATTGATTGAAAAATATGTATAAAAAATTTGACTGCTTGAAGATCCTGGACAACAATGGAACACTAACAGATAAGGTTACAGTATTTTCATTTAAGTCTAATAGCAATGAAATTACCCACTTTACTTCAGATTCTGAAAAAGTGAGTTGAAATATATAAAATCAGAAAATCAACCCTTTTATAGTTAAACTATTCAAAAATATATATGAAACAACAAGATTAAGTTTGATTGCTCAAATATTTACAACCTAATACTAGACAGACAATCAAAAATTACCAGCTTACAAATCAAATTTGACCAAATAGATTCTACATTTACCATACTTTGTTAGGTATTTGCAGTTGATCTACCTAAAGAAGAAACTCCAATTTTTTGTAACAACTACACACTAAAATTATTCAGCTGTAATATATAACAGTCAAATAAAATCATGTGTTATAACAAAACAAAAGTAAAAGTCTGGTAATCTATAAAATTGTTGTATGCTTTAAAAGCTTTTTGAGGTGAAACATTCTTCATACAAATTGCTCTCAGTGAGTTTAAGGAAAAGAATATTCCAGTTGCATGTTTATCAGCTCTATGCCATCAATCCACAAATCTGATTGAAACAACTTATAATTCAAACTCTACCTTATTGGAAACGTTGATGTATCATGAGTTTGTATCATTGGATGTGTTTACACTCAAACTAACCTTTTAAATAGTTTGCTAAAGTTTGTTGGTGTAAAAAAAAATCATAATAAAATTTGATTTATAAAAGAATCAATGTCAGAATTAGCACACAATTCAAATGTACATATAGACCAGTAAAGATCACTTTCTGTCTATTTTCTCCTAATCTTTGTTAAGTTAATTCATGGATAAACTATGGTGACAACATTGTAATTCCTTGGTGATTATTCTCTTCAACCAGAGTGAACTATTCTGAATGCTATGTAAAGAGCACCATGAGGGATAGAAGGAACACATAAAAGACAGAATACAAGTATATACCTACAATCACGTTCAATGAATTCTTTTTATTGCAGAAACATTTTAATGAATATTTTGAATTCATATCATGATAAAAGAGAATTTTCACATTCATATTGCAAAACTTTCATACACTAGTCAAACATAATCTGGATTTTCATTGCTATCATTGTTGAATTAGAAACCCCCAACTTCTTTTTATAAGACCTATACCTTTTTAAAAGGTAAGAATGTCTTATATCAACAGTCCTTTTTGTTTACACTCTTCATCCAATGAAGCTGTGCTTTTAATGTCGACACATCAGGATTTTTTTTAAATTAAAGGAAACAATTTTTGTTACTGTTATCTGAGATAAATATTTACTGTCAACAACAAAGGTATAAATTTTTCCAGATGTTGAAGGATGCCTTCCAAATTTAAAAATTGTTTTGAACAAATAAAATTTCCCATTTTCCCATTTTTTAGAAGAAAAAATATTCAAAATGGCAGTTTCCCCTACTTTAACCACAATTTACTTAAAAGGTGTCAAGTAGAAATAGACAAAATAGACACAACTTGTGTATCCACTCAAAATAGAATAACCAAACAGCTTGAAATTTTGTTAAATCTAATCAATTCATCGATGATTTGATTTCTTCAACTGTTGAAACACTGATAGTTTATTGGAAAATTATAGAAAAACATCATCATAAAAAAGACTTTTAATAGGATATCTGGCTGTTGAAAATTCTGGTAGCATAACACATTACTCCTGTCATATATTGTTGGGCAGACTCAATGAGATTTCTCTAATGATACGAGAAGAAATGTGTACTGAAGTATCAGTAAATATTTTATCTTTGAATAAACGTCATAATAATATCAATAAGGCAAATGATTAAAATGATTCAAGAATTTTAAAGAAATTAGGGTGCTCTCTGTCAAAAATTGTGGAAATGACCATTAATTATTTTTCAATTCTTGCTTGTAGTACTGTATAATCAGCATCCTAGTCTGGCAGTTTCGAATTTGGTACAACAATTATTAATATGTAACGTCATAAGATATTTTCTAAAGAAAACACTCTTTCTCCTGAATAATAATAATTGTGTAAAGGTTTTTAAGAATACTGAAGAAAAACGACAAGAGTGTGACTAAGGCACTAAAGTCTAGCACCATTTCTTCTATATGCATAACTAACAATGTTAGTTATTAGGTATATGAAAAATACTTTTTCTAAGTAAAATTTTCCCTCTTTGTTAAAAAGCCACAAAGGAATACTATTTATTTTTTGTTTTCGATTTGAAATATAATCTGTTCAAAATTTCGAAAAATGTAAATATACTAGTTGTCTTAAATTATAGCCCTTAAATTATAAAATTAAATATCTCCCTAAAACATGTGACATTAATGCTGGTATAACAAAAATAAGACCTTTCCATTTAAAATTCTAAATTATCCAACCATTATTTTTCAAAATCCACAAAATATGTCTCTTTTTGCATTCAGTAATATTTCTGGAAGCTAGACTGGTCACCTTGCACTGGCAAGAGATGTATTAACTGCCCAAGATTGCTGTAACAGTATTGAATCTGGTTCCCCACGCTGAACACTAGTATTTACCAGTTTGTTTTGAGTTCTTTTGGATTTATGTCCTGCAGCACTTCTACTATAAAAAATAGATAACAATTCAAAGTTGATTGTATCTAATACTAGTATATACATGTACCAATTTCTCAACTTGTTGTTCATTTAAATTTAATTTGTGTTTATAATGGGTTTTTTTTTCGACTTATAAATTTTGAGTGTCCCTTTTGTATTTTCAGTTTCTTTTTTTATGTAAAGTTACAAAACTTATGTCTATGGAAACATCAAATGGTGTCAACTCTGCAAATAGCAGAGGAACTCTCCCAATATTTTTTTTAAACCTCCCACAAAATATATGTCCCCTCAAAAAGGTTGTTAATCTCCCTCTTAAAAAAAATATCCCACAATGTCTTGAGTTGTTTTAATTCATAAGATAGAAATGTCTTAACCAATCAAACACCATTATGGCCATCTTGGATATTGTTGAGATAAACAGATAAAATTATTCCTTCAACTTGTTAAATTACATGCGGTTAAAAAGTTGCAAGAGTATGTCAAAAATAATAAGGTATATGAAAGAATAAGAACATATAAAGGTGAAAGGTAATAAGGGATGACAATGTTAATACTGGCAGCAGTGGCCACTTCCATCATCAACTCAAAATGTACCACTATATGTATAATCTGACATCCATCTATGGAAAAATAGGATATAATTTTATTTTGATATTTTAGATATTTGGTTCTTTGATGAATATATTCACAACTTGTCTATACCTAGAGTGATTAAGAGATGGTCATTTGGTATGACAGTGTCTTCAAGACCAGAGGTTTATCTCTCAATTTTTTTTGGGGTTAAGTTGTGTTCTTGGGTTGCTGTCTCACTGATGTTTACTGCAGACCTCTATTTATTCATTTTTAAATAAAATAAAGGATTCTCCAGGATCTTTGTCTAATCATTCAATTTCTACTTAATAATTAACTTATACTTTAAATACCTTGTTTCTTTAGCAGATTTTATGGGAAATTGTTCCAACTGATCTGCCAAGGTAGGAGTACCTGGAGGTTTCATATCCAAAGTGGTATGACTTCTGGCCAGGGCTTCTACACGCTTGAACTGTACACCTAAAAAGAAAATATCAATAATCAATAGTATATGAAAAATAAAATTTCCACATACTGTAGTTGAATAAATTTAATGAAGAAGTTTTTACTGAATTTTTTCTCTCAATTTTTAAATGTTGTATGGTGATCTATATTTGCTTACATCCATGTCCTTTGGTCACTGGTGGATAGTTTCGCAACAGCATAGTGTATTGCACAAAAGCAAAAAATTGAATATAAATTCAAATCATATAACCAATTCTAAGTTCTTTGACTACAGTTATTCGGTCTCAGAAATCTATTATGTGTCAAATATTTAATTACAATCCAAATTCAGACCTGTATCAAGCGCGAATATTGTGTCCACTTTCGCCCCTTCTGTTCAGGGTTGGACCTCTGCGGTCGTATCCAGCTGCGCTCAGCGAAGCATTTTATTATAAGTTGTGTCAAAAGATAATTTTTTTTTAATAAGAAACACAATGACAGACACTAAGTACTGGCAATGGCTCACATGGCCCAAATAAGCAAAAATACATTGGTAGCAACACAATTATACATGTGCTTGCCATTTTTCTTGATAAGTGGTTATTACTTTTTTCCTAAATTTACAAACAGCTGTTGTAAAAATTATTAGTTGTTGAAATCATGTTATCATGTTATCATGTGAAACTATACTTTACTTAAAGCAAGTTGTTTCCCCTTACCAATACTGAAATTAAATATCTGTTGAAACTTTTGAAATAAAATTCCAACTGAACAGACCTGTTTCAAGAAAATTGGCTAACAAGTTTAGGTTTTGGTAGTAATTGTAATGTAGACAAGCAATAAAAAATCTCTGAAAATTACTAAAATAAGTGTTAAGGTAAAAAAATATTATGGAAATCTCCAACTAGAGGCTATCACCTGGCAAAAATATGCAACATAAAACCTTTAGCAATATAGTCACAGCCATCACTGATGATTGCCACCAGGTTTCATCAAGATCAACATGGAGAGTTTTTTTTTTTAAATGGTAAAGTTGTTTTTAGGTCAATAACCCCTATATGGAGTAAATTGACAATTTCTATCACTTGTTTTTCTTGTAAACCTTATCTTCCTGATCATTTTTGCTGTTCCAAGTTGCTATCTAGCTGTTATACCGGTAGTTTTTAAGATATTAGGCAAAAACGGGACAATTGAGCTAAAAATTATTATAATTAACTGGTGACAGTTATTTCTCCACTAGCAAAAACAGCATTTGTTGTGCTTGTGTAGAAAAGGGAGTAGGGTGTGAAAGAGACACAATTTTAAAGCTAGATACTCTAAGTATGATTGAAGCCAAGTTTGGTCCAGAATGACCTGGTGGTTTTAGCTGTGAAAATTTAAAAAAAAAAGTTGGAGATTCAATAGATTATAAAAATAGCTCACATGGACCTACAGTCCAAAGTGAGCTAACAAAGCATAAAATTAATCTCATTTTTGTCTTGCCTTGACGGAGTCAAAAAGCGAGACATAGGTATGCTGTTTCTGGCGGCGTCAACAATGTATTAGTTTGTGATTAGGTCTAGTTCATGGTGAACCACTAGTGGTAGGTCAATGATATTTGGTATGCAGTTGTATTAGCATTGGCACATCTCATTACCATGCAGATTATTTGTCCTTGCCCCCTCAGTCATGGTCTATTGACTTCTAAACTTTGCTTAGTTTACATGTATTAGTTTTTGATTAGGTCAGTTTATGGGGAACCACTAGTGGTAGGTCAATGATATTTGGTATGCAGTTGTATAAGCATTGGCATATCTCATTTCCATGGAGATTATTTGGCCCCGCCCCCTCAGTCATGGTTTATTGACTCTGAAACTTTTGCTAAGTTTTCATGTATTAGTTTGTGATTAGGTCAGTTTAAGGGGGACCTTTAGTGGTAGGCCAATGTTAATTGGTATGCAGTTGTATAAGCATTAGCACATCTTATTTCCATGGAGAATATTTGGCCCCGCCCCCTCTTTCATGGTCTATTGATTTTGAAACTTTTGCTTAGTTTACATATGTATTAGTTTGTGATTAGGTCCGTTTAAGATGAACCACTATGTTAAGTCAATGATATTTTGTTTGCAAATGTATTGGCATTTGCAAGTTTCATTTCCATGAAGATTATATAACCCCACCCCCTCATTATGGTTCATTGACTTTGAAACTTTTACATGGTTTACAAGTTAATGTTTGTGCTTAGGTTTGTTTAAAGGGAACGACTTACGTAAAGTCAATGGTATTTGGTATTGGCATTGGCACATCTCATTTCCATGGAGATTGTTTAGCCCTGTACCTTCAGTCATGGTTCATTGACTTTGAATATTTGCATAACTTACATGGTAAAGTATTGCCACTTTAATTTCAACATTTGCATTATCAAAATAACAAATAGGTGAGACTGATAACAGTTTATTAGTAACAACATGTGTGTGTGTGGTGCTTCTATGTTTGTTCTGATTTCATTTGTTTTCATAATTTGACATTAAAATTCATTGGAGAACAGAAAATTGTATTTAAAATCATTGGAGAACTTTTTATACTATAAAAGAGGATGAATATTCATGACTTAAAAAAAGTTAATGTTAAAGGTACATTTAATTTACAATTTTAAAATTATTGTTGTTGTAAGTACAGAATGTTTGTGTGTAATAAGAAAAAAAAACACTTCTTAGTCAATTCAAACAGCATGCCAAAAGTAGGAATTTTCATTTTGTTGGCCTTTTTTTAACCTTTAATAGCATGACTGTAACACTATATTTTTTATTACTAGTTATTTTATTTTTCATCTTGTTAGTTGATATGTGAGACTTAATTATGCACAGAAAAAAATAGTCTTTAAATAGAACAATCAAAAGGTTAGCAATAACATAAAGGTACACTCTGATGGACTTCATGTGATCAGTGTCAGTAAATAGAAAAAGGTAGCAACTTGAAGCTGTTAATGATGTCATAAACAGAAGTATAATTAAAAAATAAGTTAGTTAAAGTACCAAAACAAAAGTAATGACTTAAATCAAGGTCTCATGTGTTATACAGGTTTTTGGAAAATAACAGGTTTTATTTTAACAAGTTATAATGTGTCAGGATGCTAACACTAAAGTCTTTAAATCACATGCTTCAGTGAAAAACAATTAAATTTTTGCATCCTTCTTAAATCCACATATGTAGTAAAACCTCTTTTGAAGCCCAATATATATTAAAAATGGGCAGAGGGGTGGGGGTGGGGGGTGGGGTCCCTCAACCCAGCGTTACCAGTCACCAGCTCAGTAGTCAGTACTTCAGTACTGACATGATTTACAATAGCCCTTTCTTAAATTGTCTGTTTACAAATTTAGAAATTATTAAGAAACTAAAAACCTCAGGCAAAGTTGACCTTAGATAGATTTGGCTATTATTTTTAGGTCCTTTTTCAATCATATAGCTCTTCAACTGTTTCTGTTTTCATACATCCTTGGTTTCCAAATATTCAGCTTTCAGCGTTCCTGATGAAGGTAAATCCAGAAAAGTGCTCTGGAGGCATGAAATTTATAAAATTTTGTTTTAATTTTTTATCAAGTTGGGCAAATATCTGATGATACAGCTTTGAAATAAACCTCTTTTATGTTATTTGCACCTCTGTTGAATAAAAAATGCAGGAAGATCTGTAAAAGAAACTCACTTAAACCTTAAAAAAAAAATTGGTACACAGACTCCTCTTGAACATACCCAACCCCACCCAGAAAATGCTGGTGTAAAGGACAATATAAGCAATTTCAGTCATATTGGCATTAACTTTTATAGCTAGTATTGCTGATAATTTTTGTTGTTTACAGTTCCTTCTATTTATTAAGTTTCAAAAATAATTGATAACATTAAGAGTGCAAAGGCTGAAATGTCTGACCTGCTTTACTGATCATGAATGAATTTATGTTGAAAGCCTATGACAAAAGTTTAACTACAGGTACCATATAAACTTAACTTTATCAATGATCCATGTAAATGAGGTTAAGGTCAGATAAATCTTGCCATGAGGAAATGTACACCTTACAATCATTCCATACACCAAATATAGTTAACCTTTTGCTTATAGTATCTGAGAAAAAGACATAACCAGGAAAACTTAGTACTATTAAATGAACCATGAAAATGAGATCAAGGTCAGATGAACCCTGCACGACAGACATTTAAACCAAACAAATCATTTCTTACATTAAATATAGTTGGCCTATTGCTTAGAGTATCAGAGAAACAGACTTAACCATAAAACTATACATTCATCATTGAACCAAGAAAATGAGGTCAAGGTCAGATGACCATGCCAGGTAGACATGTTCAACTTGCTATCATTCTATACACCCATATAAAGTTGTCCAATTTTAAATAGTATCTGAGAAACAGACTTAACCAAGAAAACCTGAAGGTGACCAATGAACCAAAAAATGATTCACGGTCAGATAAAACCTAGAAATGACATTTGCACCTTACAATACTTCAAATATAGTTGACCTACTGCTTATGGTATCTGAGATAGAGACTTGAAATATTAACAATGAAATGAGGTCAAGGTCAGGTGAACCCTGTCTTACAGACATGTAGACTTGTTCTCATAATAATAGAAAAATTAACTTTACAAAAATTAAACGTTTTTTAAAGCACTTGATGATCCATGAAGCCGATGGGCCAAAAACAATGGACAATTCACAGACAAAAATTTCAGAACATACAAGGTATTGAGCATCCAGGTTTTCTACCTTCTGAAATATAAAGCTTAATACAAATAGTTAATGCCTCTGTCACAGGATAGGCACCATTGTCTTACATTCTTTGTCCTTCTTAGCAGGCCAGACAAAAATACTATGAAATGAGTCAAACATCATCATTTAAGGGTAATAACTCCTATTAGGAGTCAGCCATATTGGCAATTATTCAGATATTTAACTGTTGATCATTTTTGCTGTAACAGATTCTGTCTACCTTAACTAGTTCTCAAGATAGAAGGCAAAAACACTAAATAAGTCAAACACAGAATACAT